TCAATGCTTTTTCCACACACTTTACCAGTCTCATTTAAAAAAAAAAGTATTTTGTACTATATTTATACACATTATAAATATAATGTAGGAAAACTTCCAGTCCTCTTATGTAATGATTTAATGCTGAACAGAACAAAGGTGAGGGTTAAATGTATCTTACTCTAAAATGTAGCCTAATGAATGTACTCTAAAATGTAGCCTATCAGGACATGCCAAAAAATCAAATCGTACACTCCTTTGTTTATTATGTTTTTATTATATATCTTTGAAACCTGCTTATAAGATTCACACTTAAGCTATAATTGAGCAAAATAGTAGTACATTGTAAATGGTATCTGATTTCCTAACTAACTGGCACAAAGCTGTCTTTAAACCTTTTTGATTTTTCCAGTAGATTTAATAAATTGTATTTCCTCTTCATATTAGCCTGTTCTTTTAGACAGCAGCAGTATTCTACCTGATCGCATACTTCTCATGGACACCTTTTTCCAAATTCTTATTTATCATGGAGAGGTAAGAGGAAGTCACTTTTACTTTCTTTAGAAAAGACTTTGAGTAGTAACTACAACCAATACATGTACAACTTTTGCTATTTTTGAAATGGTACTCAATCTCTGAGGTAGCTTATCATTTAATTTGGGGAGAAGAGAGCTCTGAAAACAGGTCCAGAGCCAGAAGCGGGCATGACAACCCTTCTTTCTTATCATAACTTTCTTCTTTTCTTCTCCCTGCTATATCAATTTCTATTTGTGTTCACCTCTATCCATGTATCTTCTTCTTTGCCCAGTATGGAAGAGACAAGCTGATATGTATATTCTTTATATATCCCATAAATGGTTACAATGAGATTCTGACAGCTGATATAGTGCTATCTAGTATAGTCATTAAAGAATCTGCTACTACTAGTAAATCATATACTTTTTAAAGTTTTGATCATTCTGAATTATCATATCACATGCATGGAACTAAGTAGGCAATTTTGTGTCAAATATAACAATTATATTTAAGATACTTGAATATTAAATACTCATAAATACATTTCTTGAAAATGTGAATGTATTGTCTATTTATTGTTAAGGATTTAATGAAGTGCCATAATTGATGAATTGCTCTTAATAAAAAAATGATTGTAGTAGTATATAACTAATAGTTAGATGGTCTCTTGTGGTATTATCCTCCATGTACTCTTTCAGTGTTTTTTGTTTTTAGTTGTTATTTACTTGTTTTAATCCTACTGCACAAAACCTCTTAGAGTTGCCCTGTAATTGAGGCAGCATACACATTGAATAATAACAACAACAACAACAATCTGTTTTGCCAACTTCTAGCAATCTTACTATTAAAACTGGTTTATATTAAATTTTGACTAAAACAATGAATGTTAAATCATTACTTATAGACTATAGCTCAGTGGCGCAAATCAGGCTATCAGGATATGCCAGAATATGAAAACTTCCGTCATTTGCTCCAAGCTCCAGTTGATGATGCACAGGAAATTCTTCATTCAAGATTTCCAATGCCACGATACATTGATACTGAACATGGGGGTAGTCAGGTAAGTTGCTTTGATTCCAATTTGGGGGATTACACTGATAAATAAAAACAGATTATTTAGTACAGGTAGTCCTTGGTTAATGACCACAATAGAGACCAGAAAATTCGTTAAGTGGGGAGGTTGTTAAGCAGGTCGTGCCTGATTTTACAACCTTTTTTGAGCGTCCATTAAGCAAATCACATGATTGTTAAGCGAATCACACAGTTCCCCATTGATTTTGCTTGCCAGAAACCATCTGAAAAGGTCGCAAATGGCGATCATGTGACACTGCGACTGTCCTAAGTGCGAGCTGGTTGCCAAGCGCCCAGATTACGATCATGTGACTGTGGGGGTGCTGCAGTGGTTTAAGTCCCTTTGTTCAGCACCATTGTAACTTTGAATGGTTGTTAAGTGAGGACTACCTGTAGAGTTCTTTGGTAAGCTTTTGTTTCATATAATTAAAAGGAGCATGATTCAGTATGAATTATCCTGCATGTTGAGTTTGGGAGGGAGAGTCTTTCTGGCTCTAAAATGTTATTTTCTGTTATAAACAAAACAGCAGCCTGCTTGCCAGTTGGGGACCTGTAAATGCTTTAATTTCTGTCATGCTTTCTCCAGTGCAGTATTTGAATGACATGAAACCTCTAATGTATTGAATTAGCACATTGTTACTCAAGGATGTGGTATTTGGCTGTTAAAGAACAACATCAGTGTTTAGGGGTATGCTACTCTTTTGATACACATTAATATTTAAGAGTACTATATTTATATACATAATAGAAAACTTTTAGTACTAGTATGCATTGATCTTGTTCTTTGATGCTTAAGGAAATATATAGGTGAGGGTATAACGTATCATAAAGACTCACAGAGGGTGAGGGTGTAATGTATCATAAAGACTCACAGACTGTCACAAAGCAGCTTACAATTGCAGATGCTATGAAAATTGACCTTGCTATAGGAATCTGACAGGTGTACATTATGTGATTGAAACAATTTTAACTGTTATTTAGTAAAATAATTTTTTTGTTTATTTCTTTCAAGGCCCGTTTTCTCCTTTCTAAAGTAAATCCTTCTCAAACACATAATAATATGTATGCTTGGGGACAGGTAAGTTTTAGTAAGATTAATCAAACTGCACAGAATAATTAAAATTATATTATTTTCTGTGTTAATTTTCTGAGCATCTTCTTCAGACTAAGAACTAGAGGTAGATACTAAAATGGAGTAGTTAATTAACTACTTATTATCAAATTAAGAAAACATTTTACTGTTTTTTGCTAGAATCAGAAATACATTTTTGATGGAGAGTCTTGTTTGAGTCTTTTTAAATAAGGGAAATCTTCAAAGTTCCTAAATAAGCAAGTGTAAATTTTTAAATACATACTTTTATTTGTTTCCATCTTTTTAAGAATTTGATAAAACTATATTGGGTGTATTTAATACTATGTATATCTACTGAAAAAACAGATTAATACTTTTATTGTACTAAAGATAAATATTCTAGTAGGTACAGATAGTCAAAAATTTATCTCGCTTTTCTAGAAGGCAGATTGGTGAAATGAAAATGTTCTCAGGAACTAAACTGCAAAGCAAATGTGAGGTCTGACTCCAGGATACACAGCTTCCATTTTTAACTTAGTTTTCCATTCTTACACCTATTATGCAAAAAGCAAACTGATTATGTTTGGAGATAGTTATTTTGATGGAGAAACTAAGTGTAAAGCTGAAATAAGACCAGGCCTTCTAATGACACATGTCTCTACCACAGAGCAGAACAAATGTCCATTCATTGATGGCAAACTGGTTAAGTTTAAAGGAATACATCCCTGGGGCTCAGATGCATTCTTGGAAATAAAGGTGTTGCTGTAGATTAGTGCTAGTTTTACACTATGCTCGCCTCATAGTATTTTTAAATCTATAAAAAAATGACCAGCAGGAGCAGCAATCCTGATTGTGCCACATGTCTTCAGGAAGAGTGGTTGCACATAGGTAACCCAAAAGTATTTCACAGTACCTTTTGATTCCTTATAATAAATTAATGTGACATAATGTCTTTATTAAACAAATGTATATAGCTGCTCATCTACCAAAAGGAACACCGGGCAGTGAACAAAATAAAAACATGTTACATTAAAAACAACAATTTAAAACAATAAACTGGTTGAAGCCCCAGTAAAACTTACATCCATCCACCAACCACCCCATGCCAGCTCTATTGACGTCCTGGCTCCACTGTCTGGGGGAAAAGGCAGGTCTGCACTGTTTTCCAGAAGGCCAACAGGGTCAGGGCTCTCTGTATCTTGTGGGGGGGGGGGGGGAGGCTGTGCCATAAGGCAGGCACCATGACAGAGAAGGCTTCTAACATCTTCCATTCTGTTATAGGAATCTGGAGCACCAATTCTTACAGACGATGTAAGTCTGCAAGTCTTCATGGATCATTTGAAGAAACTAGCTGTATCAAGTGCTGCTTGAAAAAGTGTGGAATTTTAGACATGCTGACCAGTTGAAACATTTTAGCTTTATTGTTCTTTGTATGTAATTGTAAAAATGAATGCCCAAGCTGCCTAACTACATCTTAAAGCAATGTAGTTTTCAAGAGAGAGTGTTTATTATCAAAGGCCTAAGTACAAGCATAGTTTTGAAAAGTAAATGAAATAAGGATATTGAGAGAAATCTTTTAGGTTGCCATGATTATACTGTAATTTGCCTTAGTCCATTGATATTAGCATTTTTTTTTATATATATTCTAATGGTGGAAATTACCATTCTGGATTGCACTGCAAAAATATGGCATATTCATGCTTATTCCTTTTCACTAGCAGAACAAAGAAACTGATGATAAACATTATGATATCTAAAAATATTTATTTTTTCTGTTTAGCTATACATGGATGTTTTAGTAGGTTTTTTTCCTTTTTCATTGTTTGGTAAATAAATTGTTTCTAAGTGAAGAAACCAAGCAAGCAGAGATTGAAAAAAGAATACCCAGTTGGTATCCAAAGCTTATATTTTGACAGTCCTCTGATGCTCTTTATCAATCTTGTAACTGCTATAGTTAGTTCAAACTCTATAAAATTTGAGTGGGTTCAGGAAAGGAAACAAATTAATATCCTATACTTATTACAAATGTCTTGGCAGGGGAAAACAGAATTGTACCATAAGTAAAAACACATTGTTGTCTGTTTCCCAGACATACTTTTTTTTGTTATAACCATATAATGCTATGACATTGTGCGGTCTTGTGCGATGTTCTATTTCTGTTTTGTTATTAAATTATATAGGTAGCAATTCTTTTCAAAACAGTGTTATACACTACATGTCATAATTATTATGAATCTGATAATATTTAGCTTTGTTTTTTTGGGAAAATGTATATTTACACAAACTTATATACATATCTTTAATAAAAAAGTTTTTCTGTATGAATACAGATTGGCTTGTTGAAGCTATTTCTATACTCAGTAAATGACTGATAACCAATTACTTCATAAAGTAACAAAAATATTCTTAAATATAGATATCAAGGCATATTCTGTGGCCTTGCAGCTATATATTATAATGTTGGCCCCCAAAACAAATATAAATTGAGCCTAAGGAGTTTGGCAGTAAATTTCAAGAAACAATCTTCTTAGCAACCATGACTCGAGCATCCTTCATTCTGACTCTAACAGAAAGAGAGATGGAATTTTGTAGCTCGACTGTGAAAGGATAGCTCTGCTTAACTGTTCCTCATTTAGTTGGTCCTTAGAAGAACTGCTGTTTAAGTTCAAAATGGGTAACTCTGAGTTTTGTTTTTCAGACTGTAAGCCTGCAGGCAGGAGCTATGCTTTTTACCCTACTGAGGAGTAGGATAAAATGTTTAAAATAAACAGATGAAGTAGGCTGTGCTTCATACATGTAAGTTGAAATAAATAAGTGAATATCAATACCCAGGTTAGTGTATTGGCAGGTCCTTCATGAGCATAAGAAGAGTCTTAGTAAATAAGCTAAAAGATCTGTCTAGCTTAGCATCCTGTTTCCCAAAGTACCATCTCTGTAAAGCCCATAAGAACTTGAGCATGAATGCATGGATCTTAGTAACAGGCATAAAGAAGTTGACTGCTATCAACACCAGGTCTCACAGCCACTATAATTAGAAACAATGTATAGTCTTTACGTATTTATCTAATCCTTCTCTAAAGTCATTTGTACTTTGTGGTAGCAACTTCTGTGGTTTGATTACACAGCTTTTTCTGAATCGGACCCCAGATTCCAATATCACAAGAAGGAGTCATGTTTTTGCTGAGTTATCCACCACAATCCAATATGCTTTCTTGATCACTTTATGTTAGAACTATGTATAATTAGGATGTGTGGTTACTTTTTTTCTTAGTGGTTTGATTTTCACATAGTTTTAAACCAAATGTTGTTTTATATGTAGTTTGCTTGGATGTCAAAAACCACCCCATCTATTTTATGGAAACAAGCTACAGGTTTTGCAGCTGGGTTATGAATATTGGCACATTTTAACCATGGCTTATATCTGAATTGAGAATCTCTCCTGTTTCTGGTTTTCTCTTCCTAACCACACCTCTTGCTAATCCACAGACAAATATAGTCCATCCACAAAACAGGTATAAAACATCCTATAATAAACAGAAAATACTGTGAACATGCATGCAAATCTGTGTTTCTTTGGTCAGGATTTTTGAGACGCCATCACTGGTAAGAGCGACTGATTGACAAACATGCCAAACCACAGTCATTTTGCTGATGTAGAAGGGTAATTCTGGTTTATTCAATAAAACATGTTTAAAATAACATTTGC